ACAATGACCACTCTTTGTCATAAATTCCTGCAACTGCTTCAGAGTTGGTAGCCTCTATGACTAGTTTCCTTCTGGCTATTTCATCCAGTTTGGAGCGACGTCCTGATCCAGGGAGGGTCCATGTTGTACCAAATACCTTCCACTTAATAACAGATTTCACTGCTTCTAGGCATTGATAAAGCCTTTGACATTTTTTTGTATCCATCTCCTGACTTGTGCCTGTCCACAACTTTATCCCGGAAATCTTTTACTGGGTACTCATAGTTGACTGTTTGCTTCAGTTGCACTACCAAGGACTGAAATGCTCCAGGAAATCTCCTTTCATGCTGAGCTAATCAAAATGACCACAGCAGATCACAATTGAAAGTCAAATGGCTTTGTGTGCCATTGAGAAGGTGATTAGCTACACCTGATTGAGTTTACAAGTCATTTTTAGGAGGGGGGTGATCCTTTTTCCAACTCTGTGATTCTTGTTTGTTTGTTTTTTTCTGACATGTTGGTGTTATATCTTTCATTTAGATGTTACAAGTTGCACTGAGTAAATACAGTTGGATAAAGCAAAAACTGTGTCCGTCTTCATTTCAGGCTGCAAAGCAACAAAATGTGATTGTTTTAAAAGGGGGGTGATTCTTTTCTATATCCATTGTATTCATTTGTTTATTTTTTTATAAATAAAATATAAATCAAACTATTACTGGGAAGGATTTTAACACAGATATTTTATAGTGGTGGAGATACTCAGAAAAAAAGGAGGCATAAGCTCACTCATAATATCTATAGCTTATTTTTAGATCTTTGCTACTATCAGTCCCATCGCATCTATCTGGCCCTACTACACTACTGAATCTATAAACAGTGTTGATGATGAAAAAAAAATCTATCTATCAGCAATAGAAACTATACAATACAATTCATCCTTTTTTCCCTTTGGTCGAGTGAGCACAGCTTTCCTGTTGAGAGATGATTTCAGGCTGCAAAGCAACAAAATGTGATTGTTTTAAAAGGGGGGTGATTCTTTTCTATATCCATTGTATTCATTTGTTTATTTTTTTATAAATAAAATATAAATCAAACTATTACTGGGAAGGATTTTAACACAGATATTTTATAGTGGTGGAGATACTCAGAAAAAAAGGAGGCATAAGCTCACTCATAATATCTATAGCTTATTTTTAGATCTTTGCTACTATCAGTCCCATCGCATCTATCTGGCCCTACTACACTATTGAATCTATAAACAGTGTTGATGATGAAAAAAAAATCTATCTATCAGCAATAGAAACTATACAATACAATTCATCCTTTTTTCCCTTTGGTCGAGTGAGCACAGCTTTCCTGTTGAGAGATGAGGATACATGCAGACAGAGCGGGCTGCTCTAGAGCACAGGCTGTGCCACCACTGCGGTCTCAGAGCACTGGAGAGGAAGCCAACATTGTTGACACAGGACTAACAGAATTATACCTCAGTATCTACCTTGTTTTTTGTCATTTGCCAGAGCAAAAACTTGCTGATTGGCTTAAAAAACAAGATCCCTGCTGTTTTTACCTTCCATTATGATGTTACATACACATTTACATTTTTTTCTATTTTTGCTCTATGCCTTTGACTCTATTATTCCTGTGTGCATGCCAGATCCATCCGGGAATATACAGAAGTGAGAGTGGGGGGAGATCTAAATTCTACCACATATGAAACATGACAGCCCATGACTGGTGCTGTTGTCAAAGCTCATTATTCAGTTGAGTGATCATAACCAGAAATGGGTGTCACAGAGTGTTCTTGAGCACATGAGAGGGTATTCGGCAGTCTATTTCAGATGTGCGTCTCCAGAGCACTCTCTCTGTTAACATCCCACAGAACACATCCCTCGACAGACCACGAGGCAGATCCTTTATACTTGTCTTTAGAATAATAACTCGTACAATTCACCATTGCTTATGGTTTGCTTGTATAGATCAGATGTAATTTTCATTAAAGGGGTCGAATCATGAAAATTTATAGTTTTACTTTTGTTTAGTGTGTGTTTACCATATGAAAAGAGACATTTCAGACAATGTTCAATACTTAGTGAGGTTCTCAGACAATCCCTCTTCTGACAAGTATAAATTCAGCATTACAATCTCATATTAATGAGCCACAGGGTTCCTTCTAAGCTAGTATATGTTCAACTTGTGTGGCCTAGAATAAACCCACCTTAGTGAGCAAACCACTTTGAATTCAGTTGCTTTTAAAATTTTACATGTGTTTTACATCAACAAACTTATATAATAAATAGCTATTTATTTTTAAAGAATGGACATTTAAAGGGATCATTTCATGAGGAATCAAATTTGGGGAGAACGAGAGAACGAATTAAAAAAAACCTTGTATGTCATGACACCTTTAAAAGAAAAAAAAAAACATATTTTTTTATTTAGTAGTGGACATTTATGCAGTACTCTGGGATGGTTCAAACTGTTCTGAATATCTGACCTACCTCATTCAGCAGCAAAACACTCAACATCACAACATTGTTGACACAATCATATTAGCTAACTATCAGTCCCGAGCAGTGTAGATGAGTTTGTTTCTTCATCTAAACAGATTTACAAAAAAAATTGCTTGTCACTTGCTCACCAATGGATCCTCTGCAGTGAATGGGTGCCGTCAGAATGCTGTCCAACCATCTGATAAAAACATCACAATAATCCACAAGTAATCCACAGGACTCCTGTGTTGTTTTTATCAGTTGGTTGGACAGCATTCTAACGGCACTCATTCACTGCAGAGGATCCACTGTTAAGCAAGTGATGCTAACTTTCTCAAATTCTGTTCAGATGAAGAAACAAACTAATCTACATTTTTGATTGCTTTAAGGTGAGCAATTTTTTTTGGGTGAACTGTTCCTTTAAATTAAAACAGGTATATTCATAAGTTAGAAAAATGGCCTTGTATATAGCAATAGCAAAGACACATAGATAGAAATGTATCCTGACAACATGTGATGTTTTACCTCATTTGTTTAGCTGGCGATGAATTCTATAACCAGTCTGTTAAGCTTCTTCACATGTTGTGAATCGTTTGCAAGTCGCTTCAAATATAAGCGTCAGCTAAAGGCATATCAATTAAAATGAAACGTAACTCGGGGCTGTTGGGTCTGTATCAGCGCGAGTCTCTCACTGTATATTCCCCCGGGAGAGCACAACAACACCGCGGTCCCATCACTTTACATGGTGAGAACGAGGCGAGGCGTGTGCCAGTCGGCAGTGAATGGATGTGCCGTGCTGGGAATATTCACAAACAGCTTCATAAACTATGATTACTGCACGTATCGTTCGTTCTCTCTTACCGCTTTTCCGCTAATTTGCTATGTTGGAGAACAACACGCGTCCATCCTCGATCGCTCTACAGTGAATTGTTTACTTCAAATTTCAAGCTCGAACCGAACCGATTCAAGTGGAGGCAGAAGCGCTGCAGTCAGCTTCCGCCATCCCTCCAACAGGCCCTACAAATACCTAAAAATAGCTTCAGGAAAATTCACACAAGCCCGGAGACTTGTGTCCCAAGAATGCCTAATCCTGAGCATCTCACTCCCAATGCATTGAATACTGTAGAACTATATATAGAAAGATAGAATGATATAACGACAGACAGACAGACAGACAGACAGGCAGAAGCGCTGCAGTCAGCTTCCGCCATCCCTCCAACAGGCCCTACAAATACCTAAAAATAGCTTCAGGAAAATTCACACAAGCCCGGAGACTTGTGTCCCAAGAATGCCTAATCCTGAGCATCTCACTCCCAATGCATTGAATACTGTAGAACTATATAAAGATAGAATGATATAACGACAGACAGACAGACAGACAGACAGACAGATAGATAGATAGATAGATAGACAGATAGATAGATAGATAGATAGATAGATAGATAGAGCAAAGGTTACAAGGAAGTTTGACGAATAACTTATTAGAAACTTATACTCTTTGGCAAAAAGGTAAGGTTAAAGCGATAGTTCACCCCAAAATGAAAATGTATATATAGGCCTATCTACTGTCATCGTTCCAAAATGACTTTCTTCCACTAAAGGAGATGAAAAGTGAATTGGTGAATGGAGGTTGCCAGTCTCTAACAACTCCTTTTTTGTGTGTTCTACTGAAGAAAAAACATCATGCAGGTTTGAATCAACATGAGGGTCAGTGCATAATGACAGAATTGTTATTTTCGTGTGAACTATCAATTTAACATTTCAGTATGGTCTTGCTGATGTGAAAGGCTGGACTGAGAAACAATGAAGAATTTAAATTTTTGTGTGGACTATCCATTTAGCACTTCAATATGGCCATACTGATGCTTAAACACTTGACTGAGAAACATTGCTTGTCAGTAGTTGAGCCCCTTAAAAGAGAGAGTCAGAACTACGATGAAAATGTAAATGCTAACAGTACAAATGTTCTGGCTCTATCTCACATCTTTGGTGTTTTTTTTTTAACAACTGTTAACTGCTGGGAACTTTAAAGGATAGTTGACACAACAATGAAAATTATGTCATAATTCATATAATTCCAAAACTGTATGTCTTTCTTCTGTGGAACATAAAATTATAATTTAAGAAATGTCTTAGTGTTTTTTGTCCATACAATGGAAGTCAATGGTCACCAAAACGGTTTGGTTACCAAAATTCTTCAAAATATCTTCTTTTGTGTTCTGCAGAAGAAAGAAAGTCATATAGGTTTTGAATAACATGAGGGTGAGGATATGACAGAATTCTCTTAATGTTAATCTCTTAATGATTTGAAGCGGACCATATTTGTGGTTCACAATGTCTTTGCACTACAGTATGTGTCTGTGTGTATTGTGTCAGCTGCTGGTGCACTGCAATTTCTATTGTGGCTCTATCAACAACAGTTCCCCCCAACAGCTGCATTGATTAGCACAGGCCTCTTGGCCAAAACTAGCTGCACATCTCTACTGCAATGACAGACGAGTCCTTTGCTACAAGCTAGAGAGGGGCACCCACCTTGCAGATTTGGAAGTGCTCAGACATCAGTGTCTCCTGGATTTCCAGCTCCCGCGGTGTCGGTGCCGTACTGGGGGTCCCAGCCGCACTGCCGCACGCGGGTGATCCACCTGGATTGACAGGTGAAGAAGTGGTCAACCCGTCCAAAACCTTGCGGAACTTCTTCATCTTTATCCTTGTGTTTATACTTCAACGTTTCTCTTGAACAATCTCAAAACGTGCCGTCGAGACGGTTAAAACGGCATAGGAGATGATGCGGCTTCACAGCACGAATTCAAGACTCCTGTTTTCTTCTTCCTTTCACAATTTATGTGCACAAAAAGTCGCAGAAAAACCTCATCTTCCAAAATAAGGCTGATGATCACAAAAAGAAGATGATGGATTTGGGGGGAAAGCCTGAACATTAAAGCCTGAACCAGGCTGGAGAAGAACCAAGAAACTTCATGGCACTTACGCAGGACGGTATCGCATCCAACTAGTAAACGTTCTCAGGAGGCATGTCAGAAACATAGTAAAGTACAATTGACTTTGGTAAAATGAATGTTACTTGCCGTATTTTATCGCGATTCAATCGCTGTACACGGCAAAATTCACGCTGAACGCTTGTTGTTTGGGATCCCAGACGCAGAAGAGACACGCCGCAGAGAAGCAGCGTATAGCGACGTGCCAACGTCGAAAATGGATCAGAAACTGCCGCGAAAGGACATGAAATTTCACGACCTGAAAGATTTTCTGTGAAATCCCCTTCTCTATTTCTTTCTTCTGAGTAATTTGGGAGAAGAGAAGGCGAGCACCCTCGACCAGCACCCAGAATCTCTCCCGCAGTCGAGTGCGAGCTGCTGTCCAGGGTGCTGAAAGATTGAGCGAAAGACAGCCACACCCATCTCTGTCCTGGTTGGACCATGTGCTACGGCCCTACTGTAATCCCCGCCTTCCAGCTGCAGCGATTGGACCATGTGCTTCATAAACCACAAACAATGAAATAGTGATTTAATTATTTGCAGAATTTTTTTTAAACTTAATATTACCTATATTGCACCAAACTATATTCAAATAAACAGTCATTTTTCATTCCAACAACTTAAATTGAAATCTTTCAGATATTTAAAAACAGCGGACCACAAACGTCCATAACATTATGTTGGCATCCAGTTTGACATCGGTATACATCTGAACGTCCTGCGGTGTTGCTGGCTGTGGCTGAGTTCATTTCAACGTAGAGGTGTAGTTTAGGCTTTCATTGTTAAATGACCAGTCTCAAAACAACTGAAAAAGATTCATATTCGCTTAAGAATTACACAAAGAAATAAAATGCTATACCAAACTTAAGGAGGTACGTTGGAGCAGTGGCTGAATTGTGGTTACCTAGTTATGCTCACACTCTATACAGTACATCCCATCCGGTCCATAATGTGACTCCTCTGAGAGGCAGCAGTGGCCTCCAGGGGGCGCTGTGATGTGCATCTCGCAGATGCAGATTACATAAACGTTTACATCATCTCTCCCCTCGGTACGGTTTATCCATCGAGTCTTTTCCGCTGAAATCTGCTCACGTTGTTCATACCAGTTACAGAGATTTTTATGCTGATGATGCTTCTGTGAATTTTATTCGGAATCTTATGATTACATGGAACATCATATACACAAACGAAGCTATGATAAATCCAAACCAAGTTTTTTTTTTCTTTTTTTTTCTAATTTACCGAATGTATTATAGTCTACTATAGAAATCTGTTTAAACTATATATAGTATAGACTATCAAAAAGAACAGTATGCAATGAAGATTGAGACAAGCAGTCATCAGTTCTGCAAGGATTTGTTTAGTCTAAATAACCACATTTCAGTTTTAAACAACATATTTTATATGTCTTAATCTTTTATATGTTCTGTTCTTTGGATATTATATGATGCGCAAAAAGCACATTGGCTGGCATTTCAAACTTCATTCCAACTAAACTTTTAACTATAACTTTCATTATTTAAAATTACAGCTTCTAAAAGATGCTTGGAACAGCTTACCTGCAAACTACCTTTAAAACTGTGGAAGTTGATTTAATTTAGTTAATTTATAAAAATTATTCATTGTATTTTTAAATATAATATATAGATCAAATGGGTGCTTCTACTAAATACTGAGCATTTTTCAGTTTTTCTTTTTTAATAAATCTGCAAAGATGTCAACAATTCTGTGTTTTTCTGTCAATATGGGGTGCTGTGTGTACATTAATGAGGAAAAAAAATTAACTTAAATGATTTTAGCAAATGGCTGCAATATAACAAAGAGTGAAAAATTTAAGGGGGTCTGAATACTTTCCGTACCCACTGTATATAGGGCATATATATAGCATCTATATATAGCATCTATATATACAGTAACAGTATATACACATTCACACACACAAACACACTATTTAACACACTATTAAACTATTTGTAGATGCCTCAAAACTGCTGACAATCTTAAGAGATCTTGCAGATTATTTTGTATGTTCCGTAGATCTGGGTGCTTAAAGGTACTTAGTTTTGGAATCAGAAACACTGCATTCTCTTTCATTGCATCCTCTTTCACAAGACTAGAGGGGAGTTCATAATTACCATGATTACAGGGTAGAAACATTATGCTTTCTAGTATTTTTATCCTGACATTTTCAGTTATCAGTTGCTTTGACTGTTTATTGGTTATAAAATTATAGATCAGACTCAAGCTCCCCCAATTAACTGACTAGAAGCTCAGTAGGCTGCCACATGTAATTGCTTTTTAAAATCTCTTCATTAAATATACTTTTCATCATGAATGCCAAGGCCTCTTTATTGGCACATACTCCAGACAACATTTTCTATGACTGTCTAAAGAACAAAATCAGAGTCTGAACTTTAAAAGTATAGAGATGCAAACAAAACATTTGTAACCAAAATGTCGTTCAATACTACGATGTTGTAAATGCAATAAGGTTTTAAAAAAAGATTAGGTTTCTTGTGGTAATTTAGCTCGTCACTTGACACATCCCCAAATGGACTTGTTTATCTTTATAATGTGGCCTATCACGACTGATGCACACAAGGCAGTGTTGCTAAAGGAACTCAGTAGGGGCCTTCTCCCTCTGCTGCTTGGTGGATGTATTACAGAAGAAATCCCTTTGTTGAGAGGATTTGGGAGTGAGAAAAAGCAAAATAATCCTCTTCATCGCTCCCTCAGGGTAAACAGCATCCAAGATAACGCAGCTGCCAAGACAACGGCACGGGGTGTGCTGCACAACGGGGCCGCTGCGTTAATCTTCCTGCTCGAACCTGCAGACATGGATTAGGGAACATGAACACGTCAGGTATCCCATAGTGCAATGCAGTTGGAGAGTTTTAACGGGGCATTACACTGGTTAAAATATGATGTGGAAAACCATTAGTGATGCAGGCAGTGGATAATTTATTCAATAATTCAAAATTATGTATGAAATAAAACTAAAAAAGTGAAGGGTTAAGTTTGCAGTCTGTTAAAATAAATGTTACAGATTTGATCCCAGGTAGAAGTGGCAAATGGGATACTGGGATACTTGTCATGACCATGCCCTTGAGAAAGGCACTTTACACCATATGTCTCCAGGGAGGATCGTACATAAAATTATTGTACTGCAAGCTGTTCTAGATAAAACATTTATGCAAAATTACAAGCAAGCAAAAATCAGTGTAACACCTAATTTACAACGAAACAGTCTGGATTATGTGTTTGACACAGTCTAAATCAGTGGCCACCAACCTTTTTAACCCCAAGATCCTGACCTCAGCCTTGATGAAAGCCAAGATCTACCTATCAAAACAACAACATTGTAATACTTAAAGTGAGTAGATCATATGAAGTGCTATTGTTAACTGTTAAAAGTGCCATTGTTAACAGTAAAATGCTTATTCACTGAAGCTTCTGAAGGAACTACCATCAGCATTTTATAAATGCACAGTAATAACAAAATTCTAACAACATTCTCAATTAAGCTAAGTGCAGTTCTATGCAGCATCCCTTTTTACAATGCCATCAGAAGGCAAAACTGCTGCAGTGATGTTACTCACTCAAGTCAGCCTGATGGCTGTGACTGAATACTGTCTGTGAGTGCTGTGTAGTTTGGCTCATAACTAGAGTCTGAGGCAGTCTGCGAGGTGTCTGTTAGTAAGGTGGCTCCTGTAATTTGATTTAATTATTTTCATCTGTGAAAATGCCATTTCGCAGAGGTAAGTGGATCAAAAGTAGTCACTCGCTTTCAGTGCACATGCAGTGAGGAAAGAAAATTTCTCTCTGTTGACAGGTCCCCAAAAATCACTGTCCTTGATCTGGCTTTCAGCTCTATGTCATTTTTTCAAATCAACTATCTCCATGTCAGCTCCACTTGACAAAGCAAAGACTTGTTGGAATTTGGCTGCAAACTGTTTTATATCAATGGGCATGAATGGGTTTGAGACAAATGCAGTAATACATTCCATGACGTCAAACTCACCAAATCGCCTACTGAAATCTGTCACCACTTTGTCCAGGTGAGCACAGTAATTCTCAGGGTGAAAAACATCCTTGTCTTCAATGCTCTGGGACTTTTTTTTCCAGGTTGGGAAAGTTTTAGCCTCCTGTCCTTTAGATGTGTGATCCAAACACCAAGCTTAGACTTAAGTGCATTCACTGTGCTTATCTTGTGGGGCAGGTGACAGTCTTTTCCCTGGAGCTCATTGTTGAGTGTATTCAGTTTTGCAGTCAAGTCTGTCAGAAACCCCATGTCCAGCAGCCACACATCATCTGGCAGTTCCTTATGTTCCTCGTTCCTTGCAGACAAAAAAGTCTTTATCTCAGCAAGTCAATAAAATTTTGTAGCACTTTCCCACGACTCAACCATCGGACATCAGCATGAAGTAGGAGATCTTTGTACGCAGCATCAAGATCATACAGTAATTCCTTGAATAAATGATGCTGAAGTGCTTTTGCTCGTATTAAGTTTGACTACTAGTGTCATTACTTGAGAAAAGTCCTCGACTTTCCAAGCCACAGCCTGATGATGAATCACACAATGATAATTCATGAAGTCAGGAAAATCAGGGCTGTTACTGCACAGTGCTATAAAACCAGAGTGCACACCATGCATTGCCAGCGCTCCATCTATAGTAATTGCTATCAGATAATGAATGGGAATATCATTTTCACTGACATATTTTTTAAACTCATTGTAAATATCCTCACCTCTTGTTCTCTCCTTAAAGTGCAAAAGAGTGAGAAAGTCCTCCTTTGTTATAGAATCCTGGAAAGCCATTCTGACAAAAACAATAAGCTGACCTGTGTCCATTACATCCAGAGGTTCATCAAACAAATATTCACTGAGTGACAAGTCCTTTAACACTTGTTGATCCATGTCCTCT